CCCCAAAACCCCAAAACCCCAAAACCCCAAAACCCCAAAACCCCTTATAATTTATATTTTATTGAATTATAGTGAACATCAGAATTTTTAATGATATTTATCTAAACTTATTATTTGAATTTCTTCCTTTACACACTAGTAATATCTAGATTTGTTCTTCACCTTCATGTAAAGGTACTCATAAATACTGTTGACCTTATCCATTGGATTATTAGTGTGAAGTCCGAATGGCCTACAAGTATCCTTGTTAATTTTGACATTATTTCTGTGCTCATCAACTTTTTCTCTTAAAGGATTATTCACAACCACAGATGGGTTAATATAGCTGACAAGGAGGACTGCTCCGTAGTCCTCATGGACTGTTGCCTCAACCCAGAATTTATAATCCTCTTTATAATAATCAACCATATCATCTCTTTCAAGTGTGTTACAAAGGCTGAGTTCTTCCTTCCTATCATCATCTTGTAAAGTCTGGCTAATGAGCTCTTCATAGTCAATTTCTACGAGTAATTGCCTGTACAGGTCAAGTCTCTGAGTAGAATAGCCTTCAATGATCTCCTGTTCAGCAGAACTGAGGTGCTTGTCAAGCTTGTCTCGCTGAACATCCTTAAAAAGGGCTTTACCACCACGAGAAGCAGGCACAATGTTCTTTTCATGGAACTTCTCAATAACTTTGAGGCAATCTGGGATGTCTCTCATGTACCTACAAGCGTCAGCATTCCTGCTGATAACTTCAAGAGTGGTGTTGAGGAGGGAGTCAGCGACTTTAATGTATTCTTTCTGTGCAGTCGCAAAAGAGGTTTCGAATAAAGATTCCACCAGGAATATTGCGTTTTCTTTGGAGATCTCTACCCTTGCTATGTTACGAAGAAGCGGAGTATACTTTATTACTTCTTCAAAAGTTGTACGAGCGTCTTCAATGTCTACAGTTATTATTCTTAGTATTTGTTCAGCGAAGAAATCATTATTGTGACAGAAGTGGGCATACATTCTTTCAAGAGCATTTGCTGTTGTTGTGGGATAGCTTCAGTCAATGATATTCTCCCTGATCATATCTTCGGTTAGTAAAGCCTCGTATGTCTCGTGCTCAGCTGGCGGTAATAAAAGGGGAGCCTCAAGAGTTCAGAATGGAGATCCTTCCCCAACTTCTCTGCCAGAAATACTAAACTTTGAAGAAGTCATCAGAAGTGAAATTGCTCTCCACACATATGCAAATCTCTTTTCCACTGTTTCAGGACCTTTGCTAATCTGCTGGAGATCACCTCCGTCTTCTTCGTTATTGTTGGCCCTATAATATGACTTCTTTTCTCTTTCAACAGTCAGATAATCAATCTCTGCTCTTTGCTTGAACAACGTAAGTCCATAGTCGAATCCTTCTGAGGGGTCGCGGTCTGAGTCATCGCTATCCTTTGCATCTTCTGTCCTGCTGTTTCAGAAAATCTCATAAAGGGGCATGTAAGAAAGGTCTCTCATCTCAAGTCGCTGAGTCGATCTCTTGTGACGATACATGTCGAATAACCTGGATACAAACTTATTCAAGAGCATGTACCTCTGCATCTCCGGGCCAGCCTCTGCTAGGTTGTAGAATCACTCAAAGAAGTTAGTCAAAGAATGATATTTATCGGTAACTCTAAGATCTTCAAAGAAGTCTCTGGCCATTTTAAGCAGCCTGTTAGCAAATATGATTAGAACTGGGACATCATGGTCGTTATCGTACAGGCTAACCTTGAGCTCTCTGACTTCTTTAACTCTGCCACCTTTATCAACAAGCTCAATGTCTTCATAAGAAGTGTCAGAGCTTGAGCTTCCCTTTACCTTGGCATAAATCTTGGCGGCATTATCTCCGTATTTCTCCACGAGGTCGCAGTAGCCTGCGATGAGGCCTTCTTCCTCCTGGTAAATATTCCGACAAGCGATTTTGATGAAGTAGGGCACTTGCATTCTGATGATGCTCTGTTTTCTCAGAGTGATGAATTCAGTGATCACTTCCTTCTTTCAAAAGTTTTCAATGTAGAAGTATGCTACTGGTAAGTGAGATTGCAAGGATTCACGAATGCTGTCACAGTACTGCTTGAGGAAAGGCCTGCTCGATGTCCGAAGTATTACTGTGTGGAAGTAGATGATGGTCAATGCCTGCCTATGGAAAGTAGACACCCACTTTCTGTGGGAGTACTTCGGAAGATTGTCGAAGTCGTGGAGGTTAGTTTCTCTCACTTTATCATATCAGTCTTTCGCTTCTTTAATGTAGGAGTAATCAAGGGATATCTGATATAAAAGCTTTGCAAAAGAATGGCTGAACAACTGTTTAGATTCCCAAATAGCTTCATTATGGCTTACTACGACATTGTCTACATTACTGTCAGGAGTATCGTCTTTAAGGTTGGCACTAGTTTCAAGCCTAGAGAATCTCAAGTTGAAGAATTGACTGAGATCTTCTCCTGGAATATCTCACTTTTCTAAGAATTTATCAGTTGGAATGTAATAATTTCTTTCATACAGGAGCATGTATCCATTGTATGGTTTGGTCCCAGAACTCCTGTATCGTGAGTATCTCTTATTATCATCTCCATAATCTCCCCCGAAGGCCTTTTCATCCATGTCGTTGACATCGAACTCGGTAACAGTGGTATCGTTGAACTCATACCACTGATTAGTTTTGGTATCTCTGATGTATGAGTAGTAATGACCAGAATTGGCTTCTCCCATATGGATCACAATTCCTCTCAGAGTGTAGGTGTAATACGCTTCTGGATATTCAAAGTCATGCTCCCTCTTCTTGTCTTCAGGGAGATCTTCATAACTCCAGTTCATGTCTTCCATCTCCTTGAGCAAATCTTGTTTGGCGAGGTATCTATCAGTGTACTTCTCCATCTTAATTTCGAGTGGGAATGACACTCTATCATTTAACTTGTGATGCTGCATTGTTTCGTAGTCTAGTTCGAACCTCTTGAGAGCAACCATCATGATGTTAGGCAGCTTCTTGATGCAGCTTCTTCTTTTGCATGTGACCTTCTTCTCGCACTTGTCACAGTAGTAAGCGTTATCTCCTTGCAAAATCTCTGACTCAATGTAGCTGTCGAGGCACTCTTCAAGAGAGTGCTTGTTCTTCACCTGCAGAGAGATTGTGGTGAAGTCCTCGTACACTTCATTCTTGTGAGGACAATCTATACAAATCATCTGATTGGCAAAACGGCCAAAGAAAATATTCTGGATTTCCTTTTCTTCAGAAGTTCCTTTAATTTGGGGTTCTAATATTTCAAAGAACCTTGCTAAGAACTCGTCTGCATCTCTCTGTTCAAGTGGGTTTAGGTCAGACCCATCGATATCCTTGATGGTCTTAAAGAAATGCTCTGGGTTGTGGGATCTTGACCCTGTATTCATTAATGATGCAAACAGCAATTTTGTGTGATATAATGTGTCCAAACTTCTGTCATCATCAGGGAGTTGGTTCTCCACTACATTAATTGCAAGTCTAAATGGTACAATCATGTAAAGTTGTTGCATCACTGAGTTGAGATATCAGGTGCATCCAAGGTTCTCCAATCCAGTATAATCAGAGATATTTTGGAATTTCTGGGTGTGAACTCTTGCTTTATCGAATTTCTTGATGTCCCAGTCGGATGCTTTTGAAGTTCTCCATTTCGCTCTTTGCATCCATTTTGTAACGATCGATGCAAATTTTGAAAATAATTTATTTTCTTTTGTGTCCATCAGCTCCAACAGCAATTTATAGCACTTTTCTCTTGTTTCATCAGATTTGCAGATTGGAAAATTGGGTTGGCTTTTGTCTTTCCTCCTTCTAAACAGGCAGTCTTTAAGAACAAAATCAAAGAGACTACTATCTACCATGCTCTGCTTTGCCTCTGGGCAGTTGTTGAACACAACTCCTATCAGGTTAATCAGAGAAGCAAGTCTTTTATCATCACTTTCTTCGTTAAACTCGATTCTTTTCAATGATCTAAGCTCATCTAGCAAGCTTGTGAGAATGTCTTCTGCAGTCTTGACTGGGAGGTCCCCATTTACCTTAATCAGACTTCCAAGCAAGTTGAAGTAAGAAGTCGACTTCAAAATCTTCAGCTCAATGACTTCTTCATACTTCTTGCTCTTCTTCTTGTTCTTGGGCTGACTCAAATCAGCTGGGTCGTTGTAGATCATGCGGAGCACAATGGGAAGGAACTCCTTGTGCAAAATATCAATGAAAATTTCTCCTGGCATGACCTTGCACTTGAAGTGCTCTCTTCCGATCTCATTGCATTGCTTAGTCAGGAAAGTTAGACTTTCAGAAATTTCCTTCTTCTGGTACTCGTGGTTGGAGTCGATCAAGAAGTAGAAGATTATCGACTTAAGCTTCTTATTTTTGTAAATACTCTTGAACCTTTTGTGTTCGTAAGTTATGACAAGTGTGAACATTCTGAAGATGTCTTGAACGATTCTATTTCTTTCTAGCTGTTCTTTCATTAAGTTTATCAGAGGCTTGTCGTTGTTTCCGACATCACTGATGTACTCGAGGAACTCCATTCCTCTGGTGACGATCACAAGTGTTGCTTCTGAGTCTAGATACTCTGCTAGGTTGATGGTTGAGCAGATCGAGTTGAAGAGCTTGAGTGTTCTTGAAACCAAGGCTGCTCAAAGTGGGAACTTGTCAACCCTTCCTTCATTAATCATCAGTGTGCACGCCTGCAGGATAATATCAATGAGGAAGTTTATACCTTTACTGCTGATGAACTTTTCCCTTACAGTGTACTTAGATTCGTGGGCTAAAAGTTCTTCCAGCAGTTTCATTTGCATAAATAATTCTTCTGGCTGGTCAAACTTGACTCCTAAGACTGTGTACCAATGCTCGTACTTCTTTATTTTGTGTCTGTCGATGTACCTCTTTACTTCTTGGAGCCTTGCTGGAAGAACTGGGAGCCTCGAGATGACGTTAATGGTTTCTAGAGCAGTCCCTTTGTCTGACTCTTTCAAGTATTTACTCAAAATTGCAACGTATGTCTCATCTTCAGCAATTGAGTACGAAATCGATCTGCCTCGGAACTCTTCTCAAGAATAAGGAGTGATGTAGATATCCATGTACGCATCTGGGTCAGCTCTCGGGTCCAAATGTGTGATGATTTCCCATACATAGGCCCAGTCGTATGGCGGCTTGACATAGTCCCTGCTCGATTGGTGGAAATTAATTTCAAATTGTCTTTCTTTTAAGGCAAACTTTCGGGCAATCTCTTTTCTAAGCTTCAGTACTGGAGCTTTGACTTCAATTTTAATGAATTCGTAAGTTTGGGTAACGTTGTTGTGAACAGTAAAATCAACTGTTGTTTTTCTGTTCCACTTCCGATTTATAAATGCATTGAATCCGTTTTCCATCATTTCTTCTTCTCCGTCATCTTCAACTTCATAAAGTTTCTTGTAGAAAATTCTAAAATGTTCAGGGAAGTCCAGAGTCTCATAAGCATCGATGAATTGTCTGAGCACCTTGATGTGGTTCAAGGTTTCGTGCTGCTGGTGGTCTGTCTGCTTTAAGATGTCAATGATGTAAGCTACAATTTCTTCTGTTTCTTTTTCACTGCCTGCAGCCCCTTTCTTGTCCATGTAGATGTAATTGATAACTGCCAAGAGATACCCAGCTCGCTCTTGAACCTTTGCGTTTCCGGCCTGGCAAGCTATCTCCCAGAGGGCATCCATCCCTTCGAAGCCAGTGCTTTTGACAGACTTGACAACATTGTTTTCGTCAACGTGGACATTGCCTTCTCTGTCGTTGACTGCCAAGAACAGATCTTTGAATCACCTAAAGCTCTTCGGAGAGTAATCGTGAGGAGTCACATACCCCTTCTTGGTCAAGCAGGTTACGAAAATGAACTTCTTCAGTGCTCTGTCTCCATTGGCCCCGCACACTGAAGAACTTCTTCGATCATTCAGAATGAACTCGAACAGAGTTTCAGATTCAAAGTTGGAGATTCTCTTTGACACAAAAATGAGGAACATCTTCTCGACTTCTTTCTCTGAGAATGGCGACCCACTATAGGACTTGTCCAGGATGAATTGGAGGATGTCGAATACCTTCTCGATGTGGTCTCTGTGTGTGTGGCCTGCCAAGAAGGCTGGGTCTTTTTCTTTAATATGCCTCTCAATGTGTTTGATGTTATTAAAATCATAAGGCTCTTTAAAGAGCTTCCCAACTCTGCTCAGGTAGGAGTCAGCAGCCGTCAGAATTATGTCGGTAATGTGGTATTCTTTGGCAATTTTCCTCACTTCTGAAAATCCTCCAGCATTCGACAGAAGAGCTTTGATGAAGCACAGGTTGTTGTAGACTTGGTCACCGTTTTTAAGTCCTTTCTTGGCCATGTCAATGTAGTTTTCTCGTGTTCTATCACTACAGTTTTCATCTGAAAGGATTTCAGGAATCACTTTGAAAGCTTGAGCTTTGAGGTTTTCAGGGATGCCTTTCTCCGACGGAAGTTTCCAGAGAATGCCGATATCCTTGTTGATCCAGTCAATGTGTTCTTTGGTCATTGCGGCGTCAGGGTCGTGACCTCCTCCGAGGTTGAACATTTTCTTGAAAGTTCCAGCTACTCCTCCGGACTTCTTGGGGGCATCATTTTCATAGAAGTTTCTCATTTCAGAAGTAATGAACTTTTTGATGAAGTTGATGAACTGTAAATCGTACTCAGACTTGTCGTATTGATGCACTCTATGTCTGATATCGTTTAAAACATCATTCTCACAATTCAGAGCAATCATTTCAACAACATCCAGAGTAGCTGCAAGGATGTCTTCATGAAAGTTCGAATCGAACACTGACCAAATGAGGTCGACTTCTTTCTTCTTAAACAGTCCTTTCTGACACATTTTCTGGAGGAGCTCTCCCGATTTCCTGATGATTTCTGGGTGGGAGTATTCACCAAACACATAGTCAATGAGTTTGTTGTCTTTGACCCAGTGGAGGAGCATATCAAGGTCAAGGTACTCGTACTGCCTCTTGCTCTTGGCTCTGTAGTAGCTTCTCTGATTCTTATTTGCTTTCATCGAGCTCGTTGGCAATGTTGACTAAGCTGACCATTCCTTGTCTCTTTCTTTTGAAAATTGGGCAGCGTACCAACTTGTGGTAAAGCGTGAGTTCCATCATTTCTTCCATTTCTTTGTCATCGTTATCAGAGAGAGCCCCGAAGTGCTTCAGTTTCTGAAGGAGATTTGTCAACTGAGAAATCTCTAGACTCTCTACATCTTCGTCAGTAATGTTGTCTACTTGTGAAGTGATAATTTGTTTAATGTCTGCAATCAGAGCTTCTCTACGCTCATCTGCTCTAAAGTGTTTGAGAACTTCAGAAATACTATCAAGCAGAGCATTAACATAACCAAGAGGTACAGTAGTTTCCTCTGAAGTGTCTTCGACTCTCGCATTACAGAAATTGATGATTTCTTCGAAGCCTCCTTGGGATCCAAATGAATAGCAAAGAGCTGCTCTAAACTTCTGATCCTTCTTATTTATACCACTCGGTCGCTTCCTCTTCTTCGGTCAGTGTTAGCGACTTCGTTCATTTGGTCACTCTCTCATGAGTCAAAAAGCAGGTGTCTAGAATCTGGATGAGCTCATTTCCTGCAGCAGCGACTGCAACGCCCACATCAACCAGGAAGGCTTTCTTTACTTTCTTATGGACTTCGTAGAACTTCATGTATCTCTTCGGAAATAATCGCATCCATGTGATGACCAGTTTGAAGACTTGGTCCATGAAGTCGACGATGTCTCTGAAGTCGTCTTTGCTCAGCTCAGAAGAGTCTCAGTTGGAGAGCAAACTGTCGCAGAAGACGAACAACTCTCCTCTCAAGAACTGTGTAGCTTGGGATCCAGAGTCGAAATTGCTAAATTCCTGATCGATGGTATCTTCGACTGTTCTTTTGAGGGTCTCAAGGTCTCCGTAATTGTATCTCCAATTCTCTCGTTTGGCCGCTCTGCTCATCCCGGTGTACCCTACTGTGATGTACCTGAGGGCTTCGATTTTATTGGAGTTAAAGCTTACGTCTTCGTTATACTTGACGCTCCAGCCATCAAAATGAAGGTTAAGTTCTTCGTTTTCTTGGTCAATCTCTTCGACTTTTGCTACTCACCAGTTGTGCACTGTATCTTCTGCATCAATATAATCCCCCTTCTTAAGCTCAGCTATAAAATCATATTTGGCTGCTTTCTTCTCAATCTTCTTGACTTCACTTTCACTAAGAGCCATTTTATCCTTCGTTGTTTTATTATATAATTTCAAATCGGAATAAATTTATAGGGGTTTTGGGGTTTTGGGGTTTTGGGGTTTTGGGG